GTGGACATTTTACGTGGCGTTGGTGGTGTAGTTTTAGGAGTGACACTGGCTGTGGTGGACATTTTACGTGGCGTTGGTGGTGTAGTTTTAGGCTCATCTTGAACAGCTGATGTTATTAAATTGGATGCAGAGCTTAAGAACGATGACCCAAAGCCAAACATCTTTCCTGTCACTGACTCAGCAGATTTTGCAGCAGCAGGCTGTGTTTTAGGACTGCCAAAACCAAAAAAGCCTCCTGATTCCTGTTTTGCAGGCTGAACAGGTGATGGAGCAGATTTAGCTGGAGGGGTCGCAGCTTTTGGAGGCTGTTGAAGGGGTGCCTTTCTTGCTTCTTGGTCTGATGGAAGAGCAGACTTAGCTAAAGAAGATGCAGCTTTTGGAGCCTGTTGAGGGGGTGCCTTTTCTGTCTTTGAATCAGGGGGAGCGGCAGGCTGAATTTTTGGAGTTTGTTGCTGGGGTGTGTCTGGCTGTCCCTTGGGAGTCTCTGCAGAAGGCTTTTGCGAAACATCCGTCTTTATGATAGTGGATGAAATCATTTTGTCAGGCAATGAAGCAACTTTTGGAGCAACCTCCTTAGTTAGGTCAATATTGACAGGGGAGACAGTTTCTTTGGCTGCAGGAATGCTAACAAGGTCACCTTTGGGTACATCTGGCTTAGAAACATCTTTCTTAGAAGCTGTCAAGATGTCTGTCTTCTGTGTGCTGGCAGGGACCTCTTTGCTTGGTGAAGGTTGTGGTTTTATCATTGGTAGGCCTGGAGGTTCAGAGGCTCCAAGTGCTCTCTGCATCTGGCAGTTGAGACATAGCCATTCCTTTACCTGTATGAAAAACACACATGAGCTCTGTCAATCTCTCTCTCACACAAGCAAATTCAAACCAATACTAGAACTATGTCTAAATAGGCATTCTACACTGATAAAACACTTAATTACCTCTGTTACATTTGGCATAGGACTAAATCCACACTTGTTGCACACAGTGGTCTTGCAGTCAGTGCAGGTGTTGTAGTTTGGAACATTTTTGGAGTCCATGTTGAGTTCTGCTTTACAGAGTGGACAAGTAGAGTCAGCCCCTTTGGGAGCAGCTTCTGGTTTTTCAGACTCTATTGGTGTTTTATCCACTGTTGTCTGCTCTGATAGAGGAGCCTTGACTGGCTGAGGTTGCTTCTTTTCCAGTTGTGGTTTCTGAGCAACAACTTGGTGTGATTCTTTGCTTAGGGGTTGTTTTTCCTGTATTTGATCAGAGGATATAATCAGCTGTTCAGCTGTTTTCTGAAGTGTTTCAACTTTATCCTTTTCCTTTTCTGAATCTTCTTTAGGTAGAGGAAAACTTGGTGTGAGATCACTTTTCTTCATAGCTGAAGTTTCAGCATTAGTGGTAACAGGTGCACCTTGGGAAGGCAGTTGTCTTTCTTCGCTTGGAGGTGCAGTGATGGCTTGAACATCCTTGGCAGACAGTGAACTAACTTTCTCCTCTTTTGCTTCAGCTGAAACAGTAGCTGTGGTGTCTTTTGCAGGTGGAACCATATCTGGAGTTCGATGTACGATATCCATTTTCTCTGCTGGTGCCTCTGGTTTTGGACTTTCTTTCTGCTTTTTCTCTAATACGTCTGTTTTCTGTGTGGGAATAATATCTTTCGTTTTAGTCTCAGAGACATCTTTTTGCTCAGCGGCAGGTGCGGATGCTTTGCTGGGTGATGCCTGAGGTTTCATCGGTGGAGGCTGTACTGATTCAGCTGCTGTGAGGGCTCGTTGCATCTGGCAAGTCAGACACAACCACTCCTTAATCTACAAGGAAAAGCATATTATTTTGAGTAAGTGTGTCTTTAACAACTAAATTTTTAAAATAAAAGCATAAATCACCACAGTTAAGAAAACATAACGTATATATTATACATAACATACATTTTAATAACTACATTTTTGGTTTATTTACCTCCGTTTCATTTGGTGTTGGGTTAAATCCACACTGGTTACAGACAGTTTTCTTGCATTCAGTACAGACATTGTAGTTAGGCAGATCCTTAGACCCTATGTTGAGCCCAGCCTTACAAAGTGGACAGGTGGACGGGCCTTGTTTGACGGTGGTTTGGGAGGCTTCACCTGTTTTTGGAGGTTCTGATGGAGCCTTGTCAACTTTGGCTGAGACTAATGGTGGTGTCTGGATCAGCTGGGGTTGTTCAGCCTTGGTTTTCTCCTGGGTAGCAGGGGATTTGATCTCTTTTGCAGGGGATAACTTGGGAGAAACTGGTGGAGTCTTAGGCTGGTCCTGAACAGCTGAGGTAATCAAAGTGGATGCAGAACTGAAAATAGAAGAACCAAAGCCTAACATTTTCCCCGTCACAGACTCTGCCTGCTTTTCAGCATCAGGTTGAGATTTACCACTGCCAAATCCAAGGAAGCCTCCCGATTCTTTTCGTGGTGGTGGAGTGGCAGTACTCAGCTTACGTTCAGGCTGCCTGATTTGGTCTGGTGATTTGTTAGGAGCTGATGTTTTCTGGGGCTTCTGTTGTATTTTCTGAGAAGAAACCGGGCTGGCCTGTTTGTGAACCTCTGGCTTGACATTAGTCTCAGATGTAGCAGGCTGTGCCGTTATGGATAGTTTCCTCTGAGGTGACTGCTGTGCTGAATACACCTTCTTTTCAGGTTCAGCTGGGCTGGTGACATCTTTCTTTTGGGGTTTTGCAGGTGTCTGAGCATTCACTGAAATTACTGATGGAGGCTCTGTTACTCCTAGAGCCCGCTGCATCTGGCAGGTAAGACATAACCACTCCTTTGCCTGAAAAAAAAATTAAATAAAATTAAAAGTTATACACACACACACACACACACACACACACACACACACACACACACACACACACACACACATACTGTTAGGTGATCTATTTACAAATACTGATTGCTTATTAAACTAGTTATTTTTATTTTAGTTTACTTTTCCAATGCTGTAATACATCTAGTAATACGTAGTATTTTTTCATTATTTAATATTCCTAAATCCTGGATGAATATTCCTTGAAATCCTGAAATCTAGGTCAACAAGAGACATTTCAAAAGTATAAGTCTGATGATATTAGTTAAATACAAAGTGTCAATAATAACATGTTTTGTTTTCTTCTTAGTCTTACCCCAGTTCCGTCTGGCATAGGGTTAAATCCACACTGGTTGCACACAGTGTTTTTGCATTCAGTGCAGGTATTGTAGTTGGGCAGATCCTTGGAACCAGTGTTAAGTTTGACCTTACAGAGTGGGCAGGTAGACTGATCTGGTTTGACAGCTGCTTGGGAAGCTGCTGCCTTTGGAGATTCTAATGGCATCTGTCTTGATGCTGGTGTTTTGGTCTGCAGGGATGGCTCAGTTAACTTCTGCTGCTCCAGCTTCTGGGAAGCAGGGAGCTTCATCTCTTCTGCTTTTGACTGGATTGATGGTGGACCCTTTATCTGCTCTGGTTGATCAGATTTCGTCTCCTGTTCTGGTTTCTTTACAGTGGAAGATTTGGTTTCCCTTGCAGGAGACATCTTAGGTGAAACTGGTGGAGTAGTTTTTGGCTGGTCCCGAACTGCTGAGGTTATCAAAGTAGATGCAGAACTGAAGATTGAAGAACTAAAGCCTAACATTTTTCCACTCATTGACTCTGCAGACTTTGCAGCTTCAGGTTGAGGCTTAGGACCAGCAAAGCCAAAGAAGCCTCCTGACTCTTGCTGTGTTGCTGCTGTGGCATTAGTTTGCTTACGACCAGGTTGGGTTGCCTGATCTGGGACTTTTTCAGGAGCTGTTTTCGCTTTTTCTTCCGATGTTTTACGTTCAGGTGCTGGGCTAGCCTGTTTCACAGATGCTGTTGATTGTTTTCTTTGTGGGGAGACTGCTTCTGAGGTTTGCTGTTGTACAGCTGTGTCTGGACTGTCCTTTGTTTGAGGAGTAGTCAGTTTGGAAGATTCCTTCGACTGGACTGTAGCAGGTAAAGAAACTTTATTGGGTGACATTTGTGACTTTAGTGATGGAGGTCCAGTAAGCTCAGAAGCTCCTACTGCTCTTTTCATCTGACAATTAAGACACAGCCACTCTTTTACCTAAAATATAATAGACACTTGGTTAAGTGATGCTTTATAACTACAGATTATATCATCAAATGTATACATTATGCATCAAAACAAATTCATCAAATATCTACTTAAATATAGTTTAATACCACAGATGATACATCTACAAATAAATTACTTTAAAAAGCAACTTTTAATGATTGAATTCAAAAGGCTGGTACCAAAGATTAAAGTCACCTACACAGTATCTGGCCCAAAGTGAAATAGGATTATTATATTACCTCTGCTCCTGAGATAGAGCATTGGATAATGGCTTGAAAAATGTTTTAACTTCTCTTTATAAGACATCATCACTATATCTTTTAATCCTATTAGCCATTTATATTAAATTTTATAAGAATTATCATCTGATTTATTAATTATGACAAAAGGCATATTTTCAGCTCACAGTGGCATTGACTTTTGATAACTAAATTCTGAGTACACTACAGTGTTTGGCTAAATTTAAAAAAAAAAAACACATGGTGTGTTTGAGATGTTTTCAAGTCTGAGATGCACAGACATGGACACAGATGACCACAAAAACATGCCTGAGACTATAACTGCTGCCAGCATGGTGGTATTTGATTGTTTTGACACTACAGGCAATGTGGAAAACAGACAATATTTTTTAAATCTTGTAGTCATGTACTTACCTCTCCTACTGGCATGGGATTAAATCCACATTGGTTGCAGACAATGTTCTTGCACTCAGTGCAGGTGTTATAGTTAGGTGGGTCCTTGGAGCCTATGTTAAGCTCAGCCTTACACAGTGGACAGGTTGTCTGGCCTGCATTAGGAGCCATATGAGACACTTTTGCTACTTGTGGTAGAGCTTTATCATCTTTGCTTTGGTGGGATTCTTCTGGTTTCTTCTTTTGTTCTGGCTTCTGAGGAAGAGTTTTGGGCTCCCTTGCCGGTGACATCTTGGGAGAAACTGTTGGTGTACTTTTTGAAGAACTCTTGGTTGCAGCAGACATCTTCGGTGAGACTTGTGCTGGCGCAGACATTTTTCGAGAGCTTGGTGGTGTGGTCCGTGATTCATCTTGAGCTGCAGATGATATCAAAGTGGATGCTGAGCTGAAAATGGAAGATCCAAAGCCAAACATCTTTCCACTGATGGATTCTGTTGTTTTTGAAGTATCAGTTACGATTTTACCACCCAAACCTAGTGGGTTTCCAGACTCCTCTTGTGTGACTGTGGTGACCTTACTCTGTTTTAATCCCGGTTGACTTCCCTGGTCAGTTGGTTTCTCAGGGCCTGATGGAACTGAAATATCAAGAGGCTTTTTCTCACCAGGAGTTGGGCTAGGATGTCCTTCACTTTCGGGTCCTTTAGCCTCCTTAGATGAAGGTGCTACTGCTGTGGACCGTGTCTTCTGAGGAGAGCCTAGTGTGGCTGTGTCCTTCTTTTGAAGTATGTAAGCCCCTGGAGTCTCCATCTTAGGAGCTGCATCTGATTTTATTTCCTTTTTAGTTTCCACTTGATCAGTAACTATTGCTTTCTGATGTACAGCAGATGGAGAAATTTTTTTATCTCCATGGAGGTGTTTCACAGGAGGCCCTGTGGGTTCAGCTGCACTAAGAGCTCTCTGCATCTGACAGTTCAGACATAACCATTCCTTTACCTGCAAAAACAAAGTATATTTTATTAAAATATGAAACATTTAAATAATATTAACATCTAAATTAATGTTGTAATAACAATTCAATTACAGGTCTATATATGTAATTTATGCCGTGCATTTTATTGAAGTTTTATTAAAGTAAAATGAGTAATTATTGCTTCTCCTACCTCTGACACATTTGGCATTGGATTGAATCCACACTGGTTACACACAGTGTTCTTGCATTCAGTGCATTTGCTGTAGTTTGGCGGTTCCTTTGAGCCAAAGTTGAGTTTCATCTTACAGAGCGGACAGGTAGATTGGCCTGCCTTTGGAAGAGCTGGTGAAGCTGGCTCTTTCTCTACTTTGGCTTGTATCAAGGGAGAGGTCTTGGCTTCTTGAACTTGCACAGCCTTCTTCTCCTGCTCCTGCTTCTGAACAAATGGTGATTCACTCGCCTTTGAGACAGGAAGCTTAGGAGAAACTGGTGGTGTCTTTTTGGATTCATCTTGGACAGCTGAGTTTATTAAAGTCGAAGCCGAACTGAAGATGGAGGTACCAAAGCCAAACATTTTTCCACCCCGTGATTCACCAGGCTTTGTAGAATCTGAGGGAGGTGTGGAACGGCCAAATCCAAAGAAAGCTCCAGACTCCTCTTGTGTAGTGGATGTAATACTACTCTTTTTGATTTCAGTTGGATTTCTCTGTTCAGGTGGTTTTTGAGGTCCTGTCTTTTGGCTCTGCGGTGGCTTTTCTGGTTGCTCTGCTGGTTTTTTCATCTGACAGTTGAGACATAACCACACCTTCCCCTATATTAAAGCAAGGAAAAATTAATTAAAATATAGTCAGGGTAATTTTAATGCAATAGAATATTTTACTATTAAAAGACTGTAATAAGTTCATTGACAAACATTTATATATGTAATATGTATAGGTGATTGTTCAAGTATTTTCTTACCTCCTTAACATTTGGCATAGGATCAAATCCACATTGGTTGCAGACAGTGTTTTTGCACTCAGTACAGGTGTTGTAGTTGGGAGGGTCTTTAGAACCCATATTGAGTTCCAGTTTACAGATAGGACAAGTTGACTGGCCTGTCTTAGAAACGACAGGCAATGCAGGTGCTGTCTTGGATGCCTCTTCAGGAGGTTTGCCTGCTTTTGTCTGTACTGATGGTGAACCTTTGTCTTTTTGTGGTTGCTCTGATGTTTTCTCCTGTACCGGTTTCTTGACAGTGGGAGACTTGGAGTCACGTGCAGAAAACATCTTAGGAGACACTGGTGGTGTCTTTTTGGATTCATCTTGGACAGCTGAGTTTATTAAAGTCGATGCAGAACTGAAGATGGAGCTACCAAAGCCAAACATTTTTCCACCTAGTGATTCAGGGGTCTTTGCAGAATCAGGTTGAGTTGTAGAACTGCCAAAGCCAAAGAACGATCCAGATTCCCCTTGTGTCGATGCTGTACTACCCCTTTTAGATCCTGGTTGATTTATCTGATCTGTTGGCTTCTGAGGACCTGTCTTCAACCTTTGCTGTGCATTTTTCTGACCAGAAGCTGGACTGGCCTGCCTATGACTTTCAGATCCTTTCACATCTTCAGTCTTTGCCAGCTGTTCTCCTGGCTTTTGCACTTTCCGCTGAGGTGAGCTTGATGGAGAGGGCTCCTTTAATTTAGATTCAGCAGATGTCACATTCTCTTTCTTTTGAAGTTTATCCACTGGGGGAGTTTCCTTCTTTAGGGCACTGTCTTGTGCAGTGACTTTACTCGGTGAAGCCTGTATTTTCATCATGGGAGTTCCTGGAGGTTCCGATGCTCCCAGTGCTCTCTGCATCTGACAGTTGAGACATAGCCACTCCTTCACCTACAATGGAGCAACAATATTTAAAAATTCAATCAGTCGTGCTGCGGAATACAGTTTAATGTTAAGACATTTTAAAGTAACAACAATAAAAAAGACATAATGTCACAGTTATTGTTCAAATAAATTGTTATATTCGACACAATTCTTCTTAACTTACCTCCTTAACATTTGGCATAGGATTAAATCCACACTGGTTGCAGACAGTGTTTTTGCACTCAGTACAAGTATTATAGTTGGGAGGATCTTTAGAGCCCACATTAAGTTCCAGTTTACAGAGAGGGCAGGTAGACTGGCCTGCCTTGGAAACAACTGGTGGAGCTGATGCTTTCTTTGGTTGCTCTGATGATGGCTTGTCTGCTTTTGGCTGTACTGGTGGTGAGCCCTTGGCTTTCTGTAGTTCCTCTGTTTTTTTGGCCTCTTCCAGCTTCTTGACTGGAAGAGGAGATTTCGAAGTGGGGGGTTTAGAATCCTTTGCAGCAGACATCTTGGGAGAAACAGGTGGTGTACTTTTAGGTTCATCTTGAACAGCTGTGGTAATCAAAGTAGATGCAGAGTTGAAAATGGAGGAACCAAAACCAAACATTTTCCCTGTCACTGAATCTGCAGGCTTTGTAGCATCAGGCTGAGTTTTAGTACCACCAAAACCAAAGAGGCCTCCGGACTCTTGCTGTGCAGCTTTAGTGGTGCTTTCCTGCTTTCCTACAGTTTGATTCGTCTGCTGCGGTTGTGTCTTCTTGTTCTCCTGAGATGCTGTCTGACCAGGAGCTGGGCTGACTGCCTTTTGACTATCTGGTTCTTTAGTCTTTGCTGGCTGTGGTGCTGATGTTGGTACTTTTCTCTGGGGAGAGCCTGGTGCATTAGTCTTCTGTGGTGTAGGCTGTGTGGGAGTAGTCTTTTTGAAAGATTTTCCCAAAGATGTATCAATTTGAGGTTCAATTCCTCCAGCAGCCCGTTTCACCTGGCAGTTTAGACATAGCCACTCCTTCCCCTTAAAAGAACAGCATAAAATACATTATAAATGTATTAATCATAAAAACACAAAAACAGTCTTATGGAAAAAAAACCACAAAAAGAGAAAAGAACCATAGAAATACAAATGCACAAAAATTTTTATAACTACAGTAAGCAAGAACTGTGGTGGTCCAAAAATCAGCTTAAGATTGGGATAGTACTTTATGGTACTATTTGTAGCACCAAATATTCACATGAGACAATGTAATGTATTTTAACTGTATCCAAATAAATTTGGTTTTCCAACTAAAAATAGTGCAGCAAAACAAAAGCTTAAAGAAGGATTAATCGCCAATAACTATTTGTTTAACTTACAAATTAAAAAGCTGAGAGCAATAATGATAGTATTATTTTAGTTTAAGGCAGTATCACAACACAGTAGGTACTTTGTCATTTACCCTCAAAGGCTTTACTTTGAGCAGTGATGTATTTTGAAAACACCTTTAAAAGTAAATGTCTTTGTCCAAAATCCAAGAACAGGAACTTGCACAGTATGAATGTGAAAAAGCAACAACACTGTTCAAGCATTACTGAGCATTTTTATTTCTTGTTTCTGTTATATAACCATATAAGAGTGGTAACATTATTGAAAGAAATAAAATGCCACTCCCTTTTACTTGAAAAGAGATCTAGGTCTAATGGAAAAGACAGCTGTTTGCAGGAGTGTGAGCCTTCCCCTGCTCAGCATGATTAAAGGATCTGACAAATAGCATTCTCAGTGTGACTCATAGTCAAAGTATCAGACGTTCAACAGGACTGCACATGAAAACAAAAACAAACAAAAACAAAACAGCTTTCTCGGGTAACTTCTGTGTTCATAAAACTTTGTGAAAAACGCTCAAATGTAACAAAATTTTGGATATCATCTAACATGTAATGGTTCTTTGATAATAGCTCTCCAATCTATGAAATAACATAAAAAAGGATCTTAACAGCTTCAACAAGCTTAATTCTTAAGCATGCCTCAGAAGTCCAAGTAAAAGACACTTCTGAGAAATCTGTAAAATATTACAGCAAACAAATGTACTGACCCTTTAAAACTCCAAAATTATAAAGATATACATTTTATTTTAATTTTCCTAAGTTACTTCAGTAAACTGCACCTCTTACCTCATTAACGTTTGGCATGGGGTTAAAACCGCATTGATTGCAGACAACGGTTTTGCATTCAGTGCATGTGTTGTAGTTGGGAGGATCCTTCGAGCCCATGTTAAGCACTATTTTACAGAGAGGACAAGTGGATTGGCTTGTAGTCGGAGCAGTGTGGGAAGTTGCTGCTGTCTTTGGAGTGACTGGCAGGGATTTTTCTGCTTTTGCCTGTCCAGCTGGATGAACCTTTGCTTGTTGAGGTTGTTCTTGTTTCTTGTCTTGTTCTGACTTTTGGATAGAAGGCGGTTTGGTCTCCTTGGAAGATTGCATTTTAGGAGAAACCGGTGGAGTTGTTTTAGCCTCATCTTGAACAGCAGAAGCTATCAAATTAGATGCAGAACTAAAAATAGACGAACCAAAGCCAAACATCTTTCCAGTCACTGAATCTTCTGTCTTTGCAGTTTCAGTTTTAGTACCTCCAAAGCCAAATAAACCTCCTGACTGCTGCTGGGGTGCTGAGGTGGCACTGCTTTGCTTGCGTTCAGTCTGATTAGTTTGGTGTGGCTTAGGAGATCCTGATGCTCTCTGGGCCTCAGGTGTCATTTTCTGAACAGGTGCTGGACTGCCTTTTTTTTGAGCCTCCGGTCCTTTAGCAGCTTCTGCCTTTTCTGGCACTTTTGTTGATTTAGACTGGATTTTCTGCGGTGAACCTGGTGCTGATATTTCCTTTTTGACAGGCTCAGCAGCTGATGGTGTCTGTTTTTGGGGACCAGACATTTTGTTAGGTGTGGGGTTTTTCATGGGAGGTCCTGGCAGTTCAGAAGATCCTTGAGCTCTCTGTATTTGGCAAGTAAGACAAAGCCACTCGTGTGCCTGTACAAAAAAACAAAGATAAATAAATTTATTAAAAGATATGTGCAGATAGATGCACATAATGTAATAAGGTGAAAGAAGAAAAAAGTACATTTCCCCAAATTATTCAAGGGACATCACAACTGAGTTTTGAAACTTTTGAAAAGAAAAAATTGTAAAAACTAGTGATTCAATAATGGTACCAGATTGATTTAGCTCTACCAGTGCTAAACCCGTGTTAATTCAATACTAATTAAACACAATCTAAAAGCAGTTTTCAAATACATGACATAAAATGTACAATACTTGCAATAGTACAATATTTCATCTTGTAAGAGCTTTGGGGTTGCCAAGTAGCTTGCCCACTACTAGCACGGTAAGGGTTCAGTGTCCTTTGGTAAGACATTGAACCCAAAACTGTAAAACCCCTTGTGTGTGAATGTGAAAAGACATTGCAAAGTACTTTGAACAATATACTTTGTTCAAAGTATGTGCTAATGTGCTAAAACACATTAAGTGAAATATTTCAAGTCTTTAATTGTTAGATAAAAGATAGCAATTTTGATTATAGTTTATATCTCAGGAAAATCAGAAATCTCTATCTCAGATTATAAGAATATCAATCAAAAAAGGATTTACAACACAAAATATCAAACCTCTGAAAAATATGTTCATTTATACATTCAATACATGATTGGAGCTCCTTGAAAACATACTATTGGATCAAAATGGACTACATAAAGAAATGTATAATGTTTATGTTTTGTTCTATAAGGACTGCACTGCTTCAGCCAAATCCGCATACTACTCTGGTTTAATCAGTTCTAATGAAGGTAGCTCAAGGTCTCTCTTTTCATTGTTCAGTAAAATTACAAAACCTCCAGACATATTCCCCTCCCATATGTATTCTGCTGACTTTTGTAATTCTCTTATGTCTTTTTTCACCCGTAAAATCTCAGATATCCACCGTCAACTTAACTCTGCAGGAGCTTCCAACTCTGAAGTAGACTTCCTGTTTCCCCTCACTTTTTTTCAAGCTTTCCTCTTCCCTCCATAACTGATGTATCTAATCTTATTATAAAATCTAAATCATCCACCTGTCACCTTGACCCTCTTCCCACTGTGTTAGTTAAAGCCTGTCTTCCCTCATTAGCTCCTCTCATAACCAGTATTATACATTCCTCCCTTAACACTGGAATCGTTCCTTCATCTCTGAAAAAGGCTTCTGTTATTCCAACTCTCAAAAAGCCTGGTGCAGACCCCCATAACTTTGATAATCTTCGCCCTATATCAAATCTCCCCTTTATTTCAAAAATTCTTGAAAAAATTGTTGCCTCCCAGCTTCACTTACACCTCAATAACCATAATCTCTATGAACAATTTCAATCTGGTTTCCGCCCCAATCAATGACAGAAACTGCTTTGTTAAGGATTATCAATGACCTTCTGATGGCAGCTGATTCTGGTCTCCTATCCATCCTCATCCTTCTTGATCTTAGTGCGGCGTTTGATACCATTTCTCACAATATCCTCCTGAACCAGCTAGCATCCATTGGCATTAGACATACGGCCCTTGCCTGGTTCACCTCCTATCTCTCAGACAGCACTCAGTTTATCCAATTTAAATCCCATTCTTCAAGTCTCCATCCTGTTTCTGCTGGTGTGCCCCAGAGTTCAGTATTAGGGCCTCTTTTATTCATTATTTACATGCTCCCTCTTGGTCATATATTCCGAAAATATAATATAAATTTTCACTGTTATGCCGATGACACCCAGCTCTACATTTCTTCTAAACCCAATTCATCCCTCCCACCTACCTCCCTCTCAAACTGTCTTATTGAGATTAGATCCTGGTTCTCCTCCAATTTTCTTAAACTAAACAGTAATAAAACAGACGTTTTACTTGTTGGTACAGCCTCTATCTTATCCAAATGCCACAGTTTTTCCATTAACATTGAAAGTTCTCCCACCCTTTCCTCCCCTCAAGTTAAGAGTTTGGGTGTCATACTTGATAATACTCTTTCATTCCAGTCCCACATTAATTACATAACCTGGTCTGCATATTTCCACTTACGCCCCTTCCTTACTCCCCATGCTGCTGCCATCCTTGTCCATAGTCGTATTACGTCCCGCATTGATTACTGCAATTCCCTCTTATTTGGTCTCCCTAAAAGGTCCCTTCATAAACTCCAACTTCTTCAAAATTCCACAGCTCGGGTCATAACGCGTACTCCTTCAAGAGCTCATATTAGGCCAGTTCTTCAGCAGCTTCACTGGTTGCCCATAGAAGCCAGGATAAACTTTAAAATCTTACTTCTCACGTTCAAATGTATCCATAAATCTGCTCCTTCCTATTTGTGTGACCTGCTCCATATCACCACTGTTTCCTGCCCTCTCCGATCCTCATCTGCTATTCATCTTACTGTTCCGTCCGCACGTCTTACCACTATGAGGAAAAGAGCCTTCAGTCGCTCTGCTCCTCGACTCTGGAACTCTCTTCCTCCAGCCATAAGAAATATAAACTCTCTTCCCACATTTAAGTCACAGCTCAAAACACATCTGTTCAAACTGGCTTATTCGCTTTAGTGCTGATTTTATCTGTTGTCAAGTTCTGCTTTGCAATTTTAACTTATTTTATGACTATTGCTTCTTTTATTAATTTTGTTCTTTTGTAAGGTGATCTTGGGTTTTTGAAAGGCGCCCTCAAATAAAATGTATTATTATTATTATTATTATTATTATTATTAATAATATGCTGTGTTGTGACATACAGCAGACCAGCTTGCTAAGGTGTTCTTGAAGATCAAGTTGCTTTAACAGCAACCTTCATCTTGTATACATTCTCAGGTCAGGTGTTTCTCATCTTCCTCTTGACAATACCCTACAGATTTTTAATGAGGTTCAGGTCAGGTGAGGTGGCTGACCAATCAAGCACAGTGACAAGATAGTCAGCGAATTATTTGTTAGTAGTTTTGGCACTGTGTGCATGAGCTAAATCCTGCTGAAAATGGAAATATCTTTCTCCTTAGCCAAGATAACACTGGCCTATGATTCAATCAAGCATAAAAAGGCACCTAACTCAATGAATGAACTAGTGTCATATACATACACATAACAGACAAGTTAGCCAAGAACCAATTTTAAATTATATATTTAGGCACATTTGTTACCAGCAGCACATCGCAAAATTATATAATTTCTTCTGAAATTAAATCAATGAAAAGTCCAAAAATAACACAGTTTCAAAGGCATAAAATAGTTAATACAAGTTTTAGATACTTTATTTATAACTAGCTATAGTTATAAATTGCTATAGTTATAAATTGTTATAGATATAGATTCCCAAAGAGCTACTAGCTGAAAACTCTGCATTTCTTAACATGTTATACAGAGTTTACTTAAAATTTTGCAGAAATTTGACAAGTGGAGAAAAAAGAAAATGTGTCAGGACTAAAGAAAACCATCAATAGGATGTCTGTGAAGGTTCTCAGTCATCCAGGTCATCGTTGTTTAATGTAGACTGTTCCTTGCTACACTGTACAGCAACAGTGCTGTACAGTGTAGCAGGGAATGCTCAGACCTCTACATTGGAGAGAGCAAACAGCCACTTCATAAACGCATGGCACAACATAGAAGAGCCACCTCGACGGGACAAGACTCGGCGGTCCATCTGCATCTAAAGTACAAAGGTCACTACATCGAGGACACCAATGTTCACATTTTGGACAGAGAAGACAGATGGTTGGCTGATTGTAGCCTACACCCATTTTCACACCTTGGTGATTAGGTAGAGGATCATTAGGGGGTCCATTGTCCCTCTTGGGGGACTCCCATAGGGCTTAAATCTGGGACTCTCCATCATTTGACCTTAGAACTGAAGAACCTTCTCAGATGAGAGGTGAAACGTTTTCAAGCAACTTAAAGAAGTCGAGACGCTTTTCTTTCCAAGCTCCTTAGACCATCAATAAGATATGAGTAGTATCTGACAGTCATGTTCTTGAGAAATAGGAAAGAAATCAAGCAAACACCTGACACTGGTCCTTAAGTTGATCCATGTACTATTCAGTGAATCTTGAAATGGTCTCAGTAGAAGGGTGGCTGTAAATTAGTTAATCTTAAGGAAGGAAAACAGGGAAGTATGCCAAAGTACTCCAGAAAATCAGTAGCAAAACTAAATTTTAGTTCAAATCATCATCAGTACATACAAAGGATGTCAGAAGAGAAGTACAACAGTGAGTACTGTGAGTGTCTAAAGGTATCTGTAGAACACGCTGGACACTCTCATGTTTTGGGGCTGCATTTCAGCCTCTGGCACATAAAAATCTACCATCAGATTTTCCATCAAGCAATACCAAGTCGAAAATGGCTGATTGGCAACAGCTTCATTTTCAGCATGAAAATGATCTCAAATATACTGCCTAAAGCATACCTGGATAGAAAAACACAGTGGAAGACTGTTAGTCATAGATTGATCACTTGAGAATCTAGCATTTAACATTACTGAAACAGTGTGTGATCATCTTGGGATACAATGGAATAAAAGGCAACCAACATCCAAAGAAGAGGCTGAACATCCTTCAGAAAGACTGGAAAACTATTGCTGAAGACTACTTAAAGAAATTACAAGAAAACCTGCCTATTAGATTTCAAGCTGTGTTGGTGAATAAAGGTGGTCATACCAAAGACCGACTTCCAAGCTTGTCAGAATTATACAAACACTATTTTTGCGTTCTACATTGCATTTCCATGTAGTTTTGCACCAGCTTCAGAAAACAGCTGAACATATCTCACATTTTCATAGCAAAATATAAAGAAATGAGGGGTGGCTCAAGATTTGTTCACAGTATTGTACTAACATGTTACTTCATTCTATGCAAAGCTCTTCGGAGTTCTTCAATCGATTGGTCTTAACAGTCCTCTCAAGGCTGCACTTATCCATGTTGCTTGTGCACCTCTTCCTACAACACTTTTTCCTTCCAGTCAAATTTCCATGAATATTCTATGATACAGCACTCTGCAAACAGGCAGCCGTTTCAGCAATGATCTTCTGTGGCTTACCCTCCTTGTAGAGGGTGTCGAAGATCACCACCTGAACAGCAGTCAAGTCAGCAGTCTTCCCCGTGACTGAGGTTGCGTGCACTGAATTAGACTGAGGCATACACGGTATTTATACTGTAGTTTTAATCTCAAACTGAAATATTTGAATAATGTGAGACACTGATTTTTGTATTTTTGTGATTGTCAAAATGAAAACAAAAAGGCTTGAAATATTTAAATGTGCATTAAATATTACCTTTTTTAATTAAATGACAAAATGCATTTTTTATGATATTCCGAACTTTTAAGATGCATTGATAGATGCAAATGAATAACCATTCAACTCCTGGCCATTTGCCCTCATTGTCTCATGATATCAATTAAAACTATACTGCATTAATATTTTTAATTACATATGTATTAATTCTGTAAGTGTAGTGTATAGCAAAAGTATCCAACCAAAGAAAACTGCTTAAAATTTGTAGTATCAAATAAAAGAACATTTGCATTGAAGCAAAGTTACGAGAAAGCATAAAATAGATCACATAAAGACTAAATTAAACCACTACTTACATTAGAGTCTGGAGGGCTGAAGCCACACAAGCTGCACACATCCATTTTACACTGTGTACAGGTTTTATGGTTAGCTGGTTCTTTTGTAAGTTGTGTTGTTTTACACACTGGGCAAAGCTTTGCTACTGCTGTTGACTGAGATCTTGCTTTGGCTGTTCCAGGTGATGAAGACCCTGCTTGTGTCATGCCAGTTGGACCAGGTCCCTTACTCCCTTGCTTATCAGAAGACTGCTGTTGGAATGTGGCCCTGATGCCTTTCTGCTCTGGTCCTGCCTTAGACGAGTCATGCTGTTGCTGCCCAATTTTTGGTGATGCCTGCTGTTGTTTTCCAACCTCAGACCCAACCTTTGTTGACCTTTGTGCACCAGTCTTAGTGGGGTTTTGTTGCTGCATCCTTGTCTGTTGTTGAGCTCCAGGTTTAGGAGAACTTTGCTGTATAGGTTGGTTTTTGGGGGGTTCTCCTTTAGGCTGGACTTCAGGTTGAGCCCCTGTCTTTGAAGTTGTTTGTTGCCCAGCAGGTTTGTTTGAGGGGCCAGTTTGTCCATTTCCATGTAGCTGTGGTGAACCTTGCATGGGAGGTTGTTGGGTCTTTTGCATAGGGGGAGATTGGCCTGGTTTATGCGGTTGCTGTTGATGGTCTTTTCCAGAGCCTGCTGTTGGCTTCTGTTCTCCAGATTGCTTTTGCCCCTGCTGGGGAGGTGATTTTTTATCCCCCTCACCATCATCTCCAAACAAACCAAACTTATTTACAGCAGAGGACACGGCATTGAGGGGGTTTGCCCCACTAAGGAATTTGGAGGAGAACATTGTTGGGTCTTCCTCGTCCTCCCCCTCTTCCTCCTTGCAGGAGCTGGAATCTACAGGACTGTCAGAGTCAGAGCAGGAACTGTCTCCACTTTGACCCGGCTCTCCCACAGATGCCTGAGGGGGGGCTGGACCGGTGGAGAGGGCATCTACAGCCCCACTCCTGCTGCTGCTGCTGCTACTGCTGCTGCTCCCTGGGCTCTCCTCTGGCTCAGCATCTACGTCAGACTTCCTACATACATGACAGACAAAGAGAGGATGTGTGAGGTGACAGAAACAAGGGAGGGATAATGAAAGAGAGTAACATTTGCGGACCACAAGTATGTAGAAGAAAGGATAACGTAGTTTCACCCATCCACTCAACATTAACATAAAGTTGGCTTAATCTAATAACTCAACTTTGAAGACCATCAATGCATTACACAATATGTACTTAACTCGATTTAGACAAGTGTATCCTTATCTGAACCTATTAACTGCATGGTTTTCAATAGAGAAATTTTCATATAAATATTCTGTAAGAATCTGTGTATTAGACACACCGGTGTTTGATAAATTATATTTATTTCCATTCTGGTTAGAACTATTATTATTTGTCATTAAAGCCATTAAAGATTCATTCTCTTTGATTTACTCCACACCGACTGTTGCTTTCAGTACCATGGACGGGACCAGAACCGCTATGCTGCTTGCAGCCTATACAAATCAGAGAGATCCTTGTCAGCCAGTTAAAGCCTACGATACAGCCTAATGTGCAGTACAGGGGGGGGATGTTGCTCTCAATTGACCGGGCTACTACAAATCCTATTAAAATGACTATTGAAGGTGGACTCGCGGGTCCAGAACACCATTTTTTTCACGGTGACAGAATTCGATTTTCATTATCCGAATGGCACCGATTGTCACGGAGTGAAAAATGTCACGCAAGACGTGTTTTACAGCAGCCAGACGAGTAAACACAGGAAATCTAGCGCTTTCACTGGAGAAACTGCAGGCACATCCGGGTAGCGGCCCAGCAAATAATGCATGGGAAGTAAATACTGATAGTTTCTTGGACAAAAGCAACATCAAGGGCAATACAAGTCTGTGATGACGAATTATCTTTCTAAATAGGCAATTACAGCTGCGTTCGGCGTTTACTACGCAATGCTCACTTGCAGCTCAGGTTCACTCATACGCGGTGGATCTGACGTATCCACGGCGCTTTACCGATATGAAAAGGCATCATGCATAACCACCAACCATTCTAAACCGGACAACATCTTAGTCCGCAGAGGGTACGAGGTGATAACAGCCCAAGCCCACGGGTGAGCGAAAAAATGGAAAACACATTCTCACCTTTTTCTTGTGTCCTTGACCAGGTATCTTAACGAATATTTTTTATACTTAATGTGTAGTATACTGTTCTAGATTATTGTAAACCAGCGTAAAACTGTGACGAAACCCAGTAACAGCTCTGTCATCCCTGTGATTTCCCGAAATACCATCTGTTATCCACTCTGCGCCCCCCGCTCACCTCCTCCCATCCTGCATGCAACCAAGCATCCTTCACCCTCCACGGTCACAATGTCAAACACTGAAGCGCAGAATTCAAGAGAAACCGAAGAGAAACAGTACCTTCATCAACAGCTGATCTGTCTCCCCATCCTGCCCAGCCTTCCTGAGATATCCCCTGTCCGTGTCTGTCTGATCGCCGGGGGATAGAGAGCACAGGGCAGCGGATAGAGAGCGATCAGCATCCACTCCGCCTCCCACTTTTGCGCGCATGCGCCACATCTGACAGGTGATCACAATATATATCACGCACGGAAATTGAAATTAAAGGGGACAAGCGATTTATTTCCCCTGGAGTCACGTGTGATCAGACCTGAAAATTTACCCTTATGCTGAACGTCTTCTCAGTGGCCGCTGACAGATTTGATATGTCATTGCTGTGATCGTGAGTTGCAGTATAGCTGGATAATAATAATAAAAAAAAAAAAAGAGCAGCACTGGATAATTTCACATCACTTTAAATGTTATACCCGATTAATTGCATTTTCTAGACAAATGACGCTCCCCTGTCACGTTCACTTATTTCTCTTGTTCCTGAAAGCACAGTGGATTTAAATCAACACTGAGCACAAGGAAGGCAAATAATGCCTCATCTGCTTTATGTATGTGCTAGGTCCTCTTTTGGATTTGCAGTGTGAGCATGCCCGAGCACCATTAAGAAAGTGAGCAAGCTATGACCCTCTGTTGTCTGAAAGACAGAATGAGAGCGCTTTCCCCGGCTTATATATTGTAAAGTTCAGCTTTAGACTCTGTCTTAGAAGAAATTAGTTCATCTGACCTGCCTCTAAGTTTTCTTCTTATAGTGCTCTCTGTCAATTTAGTTAAGGTAAATGTTCCAATCAGCCTTGGTTCCGGATCTCTTCCACAGTAATAATGGGCTAGATATAATCCACACAGCCTCCATTATAGAGTATCAGTTCATTTAGTTTCATTAACAAATAAACATGCTTAGTGAAGCAAAATGCATGAGCAACTCTGTGCACAAGCAGCTCTTGTTGTTTTATTTAGCTCATACAAAGGAAATTCACACCAACTGCCACTGTATATCAGTTCTTCCATGGTTCAGACCTGGACACCTGTCAAGATTTTGACTGCATAATCTCGTTTTTTCCCCTTGCACTAACTTTCTTATCTCTGTCACAACTGAAAGAGCAGATGTGAGGAGAAGAGACAATTTGGACAATCATATCTGGTCCTGCTTTGGAAAACTTTTCCAGTTCAAGGAGGTTGCATATCATGATCACAGCTTTTGGCAGCTCTGCAGAATTTATAATTATATTCGAAACAGATAACCATGTAAATGCAAAAATGTGTATACTACTAAAATATTCAAATATGTAGTTTTCTTCCTGGTGAACTGATGGTATGGAATATATCACAAAGTTTAGCAAAACTTTTGCTCTATTATTTATCACTTCTGTAGCATCCTGCTACCATAAAAGAGGAAATTCACCCTCAGCGATTACTCACCACCACAGTTCATCATTTTTGAGCACTAATATAGCTCCACCATGGCATGCATGTTTACTCAGTCATACAGTCAATAATTTCCTACTCAGTGTCTGGTAAGCCTGAGGAAGCTCTGTGGGAAGGATAGAGAGCAAGTGTTGTGTGGGCGTGTGGAAGAGTTACGTCATGTGTGATGTGTGAGCAGCAGAATCGCTATGATCTCTCTTTGGAAAGCGCCAAATCTGGCTTCACTGCAGACATGCACACATACACAAACAGATACGCACACAGGAAACATGTAGCACAATCTCCATCTGGGGATATAGGCTGTAACTTTTCCGTGTCCTCCTACCTGGGCTGAAAATCCATTAAGTAATCTCAAAACTGCTTATCTCTACCTCATCCTCACAATCTGCCGCTTCCTTCTGTTTCGTCTTTTTGTTTTTGTAAAGTTTTAGAACAGAAAAAGAGTAGAGCTAAAATTATGTTAATGCACACTAATACCTTTATGTGCCATTAGGTAATGTCTTAGGTCATTGTTGTATCGTGAGCTTTAGGTTTCATATTTTCTTCTGACAATCATTACGAGATAAATAATATGATTAGCTTTGATATTTAAAGAACATTACAGTAAACAGGCTGTCTATAATTTAGTGTTTATCATTAAACAGTTTACACTCTTCCTCACAACAGATTTGTTTGTCAGTCAATATTATGTAAGACAGCAGGAAGTCACCAGATGTGGGACGAGCATGTTCTTTTCTTTTGATCCCTCCCTACTTGTCAGTTTAAATACAATAACCAAAATCTCCACTGTCACCATCCTTTTTTCCCCACATACTCTTTGATAAGGGCAGACCAGACTTTGCTCTCACACAACTAAGACATCGCAGATTTTTAACTGCATCACTCACATGTTTACCAGCTGACCTCAAAGTGAATTAGAGTCTGTCACGTGTATCCAGGAACGAAACAAACACCAAGTTGCTGATGGGAAGCTTTGAAAGCTCACTTCTTTTCAGTGGCTTCACATGTATAGAAAGTACAACCCCAATTACTAACAAGTTGGGACATAAAATTGAAATACAAAACACAATGCAATGATTTGCAGATCTCATAAACCAATGTTTTATTCGCAGCAGAATGTAGAAAGCATATCTAATGTTTAAGCTGAGAAAATGTAACATTTCAAGAAAAAATAAGGTGACTTTAATGATGATATGTTGATGACACTGTAACATCTATCTTAACAACAATCCTGGGAAACATCTGGGAACTGAGGAGACCAATTCCAGGACTGTCCCATTCTTGTCTGATATAGAATCCTAGTCCTCAACAGTCCTGGGTCTTTTTAAAAAAAAAAAACCAAATAGGTGAACGGTCTAAACTGTAGGCAGATCAGTTCAGCACAGAGACTCTTCTAGCACAAACCACACTGTTACAATAGTTGGCAGTAAGCAGTTTACCATTGTCTTGTTGAAATACACAAGGCTTTCACTGAAAAAAGATTCTGCCTGCATGGGAGCACATGTTGATTTAAAACCTGTATATACCTTTCAGCTTTGCTGCTGCCTTTCCAGCTGTGCAAGCTGCCGATTTAATAGGCATTAAGTCGCTCCCACACCATCAGAGACGCAGGCTTTTGAATGAGCACTGATAACAAGTCAGATGGTCCCTCTCCTCTTTAGTCCAAAGGATGCAACATCCATGTTTTCCAAAATGAAAATTAGTCTGACCAAAGAAACATTTTCAACTGTTTTCAATCTTAAATGAACACAGCCGTGTTTCTGAATCTTGTTCACATATTGGTTCTTCTTTGCATGATAGAGCTTTAACCTTTGTTTGTGGATGCCATGGTGAACTGTGTTCACAAACACAGAAGTGTTCTTAGGCCCAAGCCCGTTTCCATGACAGAATCATGCCTGGTTTTAATGCAGCGCTGCCAAAGATCACAGGCATTCAATACCGATTTCTCCAATTTGTCATTTGATGATATGATGTACTGTAAATGATGAGAAGACAATTTTATGTTGAGGAACATTATCCTGAAACTGTTCCACAATTTGTAGATGTAGCTTTTTGTCCATTTTTACAAACCTCTTATGCGGTTTTTATATCCAGCCACGTTACTGACCTGTAGCCAATTAACCTATTTGGGATGTTTTGTTTTGTTTTTTTGCTAAATGTTCCTCCAGGTGTTTTTTTGTTTTTGTGTTTTTTTTTGGTACCACTTACTTTTCCAGATTTTAGTTTTCCCATGTTAATGCCATCACATTCAAAATGAGGTGATAGTTTTTTGTGAAATATGAAGATTTCGTAGTTTAAACATTTGATATGTTTTCTATTTTGTATTGTGAATAAAATATGTTTTATATAGCAGTTTGAACTTCAGACCTGCTTGCACGGGGACAGAAGAGCTTCTTGCTACTTTGCTTATCTGTTACTAGCCCAGTAATAAAAACCATAAATGTGTCTTTTAGAGGAATTTTAAATAAGAAAATAAACATGATGGCGTGACTAAGAAGAGTTGACCAAACACATCTGTAGTTCTCTCTCATGTAGTAACGCTCTTGTATTCTACACTTGTATTCTTCTCTCCACAGTTGATACCAACACCCACACACCCGTCCCTATTTCTCTCTCACTGTTTCTCTATCAGGCTGTGTACACAAACAAACTCAAACAGATTTGAGAGGCAGTACTTATCTTTCTCTCATTTTAATTAAGCAGACACTGTGGAGCATTATGCTGCCTAGCAGTTTCTAACTCCCCTAGCTGCAATTCTCACATATGAGACTGCTACTTCCGCAACAAGAACAACAGCCAAACATTCACTTTTTTTGATAATGTTGGAATAAGTTTACAAAAGCACACACCTCTGACGTTGACCCTTGAGGAATTCAAAGCAGTTTTTTCCCGGCATGGTTTTCTCGGGAGCAGAGCCGGAGCAAGGTGGAGTGGTAACCTGCATCGAGGTGTATTGCTGTCCTCTGTAGGTCTCTAGGTCTCTGTGCCTGAGTATCTGGCAGGTTCACAATGTAATCTATACAGTAACCTGATCACACACACTTTGCCAGCATCATTAAATTTACATATCTGCCCCTGGGAGGGGAAAATATGGACTTGCAATAATACTCTCTGAACAGAACCGAAACACATGTGGAAAGAGCAAAAATCACTAATATAATATTAACAGCAGATGAAGGTGTTTACAGGTTCTGTATTTCAGGAATCTAGTTCTATGTGTAATTCGATCTAATGCAGGCTGTTATTCGTTGCAACATGTTATTAATTGCCAGAATATAGATCCTTACATCCCTGAAGGGACTGGCTCAACAGTGGACAGGAAAAATACACAAAAATTGCACACTCTGTCATGAGTTGTTTTTCCTGTTGAATGCATTGTTTACAGTTCGACTCAAGTACAAACTGTGTCACACATAAAATATGTTCCAAACAATGCAACTGACTGACCGTTAACTTGATTGTGTTCGAATGTACATGAGACAGGTACAGTTACCAAGCACTGGCAGTCTGATGTGTGTCACTTGGGAGAATGGTTTGTGCTTTGTGCCTTCCTC